TTTTTACTGAAATAGCATACACCCGAAGAAAAACTCTGGCCATTAATTGAGGGCTTCTTGAAAAGTTAAAGATTAATAATGCTTTTAAAATTTTGTTTTTGAAAAACACCTTGATTTATAAGTGGTACAGTTTCTTGATGCTTCGGGAATTGAATTTTGTTTTGCTATAGTATGGTCAATTGCTGGAAAAGATGAGGACGTGCTATAGTATGAATTGCTAATGATGTCGAAACACGACTATCCAATATAGATTTTAGCAATTGAATGTAAACTGTGTCTTTGACTGTCTTCTAAAAGTTTAGCTCGGATTTATTTTAAATTCCTGTGGGGATTTGTAGCCATAACTTTTGACCAATTTTATATGAATCTGGTTGTCTTATGCTCAGATTTTCCTTAGACAAAGGAGTATAGCTTGACTTGGAAATATTCTTTGATCTGTGGTTGTGATTGACTTTGTGGTTGTGGCTGCTCATTGCTCATTGTATATAGTTTCTATAAGTAAAAATGACACCTAGGTACTTGTTATTTAGACATGTCACTAATATGAATTTAATTGGGTAAGACTTTATAAATGACAATTTTTTCTCCCATTGTTAACGGTTGTAACTTGTAATTTTAAGATATAAGGGACATTTGGTTATTTATACGAGTTCTTCTGTTGGAAATTGTTTCTGGAAATCATTTCCTTTGATCAAATTGAGAGATTTAAAATTTGCGTTCATTTAACTTCGCGTTGTTGTTACCCCTTGTTTGTTGTTCCTTTTTGTTTTTTATATGGTTCATCAATTCCAGAGCTTGTCTTTAAGGCTTCAAAACAAAAATCCCCTCTTCCGAAAACAAAGACATCCGTAATTTCTAAATTTCCTACAAGTCCGAGTTAGGGCATCTCGAGAAACCTATTTAATTAAAAAGGTCAGGTTCACGTCCCTGTTATACACAAGAGGTTAATTAAAAAGGTCAGGTTCACGTCCCTGTTATACACAAGAGGTTACCATGCACATACACATAGTTTCACATTAGGAGTTTTGCTTTTGGATACCACCAAAAGGTTTCTCTACTAATGGAAACAATTGTGACGGTATAAACCTATAATAAGTTTAAATGATGTGCGACTTTGCTTGCATCCCAACAGGCCTAACTTGCAGTCACCAATCAAAAACAAAGTCTCACCATTTTATCATTATTGACTTCTCTCTAGCCTCTATGGACCCTAACCATTGTTTTGATTACTCGTCAATTCATTGTGGTGCTTTTCAAGTTCTTTCTATTGTGTACCTTATTCTATTGTGCTTAGTTATAACAATGACTTCCAAACTACACTTTGAATTGCACATGGCTGTAGCAGAGGTTCCTTGTTATTCAGATTCTTAATGAAATGTTCTGTGATTTCTTGTAGTATTTGCATTCTACGTGATTGTATTGATGCTCAAGTTGCTGAAATTTAATCCGAGAAATGTAAGGGGCAGCTGGTTTTCCCCATGGATTTTCTAATTGATTTCATGGTGTCACTGAATATGTGTACTGTAAATTCTGACCTCGATGGATCTGCCATTTGTTTTGTAACTAATGCAATTGTTCATATAATATTGTCTTATTACTCTTGTAGTTCTGTTTTATGTGATTACTTCGTGGCACATGATTTGCATGGTATCCATATTCACATTTCATATATAAAGCACGAAAGTGAACATTAACACAAACACCAAGTTTAAGACTTTGATATTGCACTAAGGTTAGTCTAGTGGTGGGGAGTTGGAGTAGTATTTACAGGATCTCAAGCTTGAATTCTGTTTTTGTCATTGTAATTCCTATGGATAAAATGGGAGGGGGGAGAGACTACAAAAAAAGTCAACAAGACATCTGTTTCCAGGTTTCTCTCCTTGTCTTTCTGCACTTGCCTCTCTAAAAACAACAAAAATAATATCGTGTAGCATTGTAGCTGCTCTATCTTTTGAATTTGCTGCATCTGGCTTTAGAACACGTATCTCATCGCGATATACTCTAACTATTTGCAGTGCACATGGATTTTTTTTTTCATTTGAAGATAGTGAGACAAACTATTTTTTGGGGGAAGGGTCAAGAGCAGTTTTTTCATCCTTTGGACAGCTATTTGGTTTGAATTCTCCTCTATTGTCTGTAAGCTAAACAAATGTCAGGTTCAACGTTTCTCTTCAGTAATGGCGTCCTTTTACACACCTCAAATGTCCCTCCAGTCAAAGGCTTTCTTGAATCTAATCCGGGTACTTTCAAAATGAGTAAGAATTTAGTAAAATGAGTGAATAATCTTTTACAAGGTTTTCTTATCTTGTTTATTTAAACACTTTTTTAGCTATCTTCTTGTCTAGGTGCTTACACAACATCTCGTACTCACAACAATGCTTCGTGGTTGTTATTTTGGGAAAGACACATGAAAAGACTTTCAGAATCTATAAAAATTCTATCAAGTTTGGCTCCACAGCTTCTATTTAAATCTAATAATTCTGCAATTTTGGTACCGTCGGCAGCACCCTTGCCAATATGGCAACCCACAGTTCCGATGCTTGTTAATGATTCAATGTGAAAAATCTTGCCGATTGCATTGAAAGAGAGGAATGATTGTGAGGAGCTAGCCATTACAACTCTTGTTAGCGGTAATAATGAGGAATTAAATGTATTTGAGACTGTCAGCGAGGAAAGAATGAGTAAAATTCTTGATTTGCACGTGCATGTTTAGACATATGTTCCTCCTACATTTGGTATTAGGGGAAATGATGTACATTTGGCTGTGGTGGGCTATGGGAGGATGTTGCAGCTGCAAAATATTCAGATTGAGTAAGGTCAGATATTAAATTATTAATGAATAAAGATGCAGACACTATAAAGTATGAATATTTTTATCTATTATCGTTTGCTTCACTTACTTTAATCAGTTGTCTAGACTTAAGAGGCTTTTGGCTTTGTAGGTTAAGTTCTATTAATTTAGTTGGAAATTTTGTCAACAATGCAGGACTAGGAAGCCTCTGGAAAAACTCAGGCCTCCCTCAGTAACAGAACTGTGCTGTCTAATGACGGGGATCAGATTCTCAAAGGTTGTGTGACAAATTTTTAGTTGTTTGCTGCAAAGTGTGCTTATTTGATCTCTCAATTTAAATTCTAACTCATCTTTATAAGATTTCTTAAATTTGATTTGTTGTAATGTTAAAGCTAATGCAATGAGCTTGTTTTAAGTAGTAGTGACTGTTGTTGATTAACAAGCATACCTGTTTTATTTATTGAATACCTCTAAGTTCGTCTTCTATTCTATTTTAGTATTTTCAGTATGGAAATTTTCAGAATGAATTCCTATTCTTTGTCATATTGATAAATACACAGTACTCGACTACTAATTGAGTTTCAAGCCTTTACATGTTTGTGTTCTATTTTAAAAATTTTATGCTTGCATGATCATTTGATGTTCACTGCACTCTTACGACTGCAAAAGGTATCATGATTTCATGGAATAAGCTTCCTTATCATGGATTTTACATGCGCAACTTTTAGTGTTCATTTTCTGTTTCATTTTAGCACTGGGATTCAAATGATGGGAAGGCCCTGTGTGATTATGGAAATAAATATTATTTTGAAGTACAAACAGCTCCTATGAGTCATGGGTTCTTCCAGGAATGATACGCCAACTAGTGCTCGAGTAAGATTTTATTATAAATCTAATTTTTTGCTGCTATATTTTCTTTGACCATAAAGAAACTGTGCCCGTATAGAAGTTTTAGTGGAATTCCTGTTATTTACTATGGTCTATAGTTCAACAATGTGTTACATTAGAATAAAACAAAGGCTTTATCTTCTATTGTTAACAAAATGACTTAAAGCATTGCCTTTCTGTTTTTGTAGTGTTTGAACAGTCTACTTATGATATATTATTATCTTGTTTGGTTTAAATGTGGATGAACTTATAATTTTTCCCGTTCTCTGCCTAAGCAATCTAAATTATTAATTCTTTTTCCCCTTTTTACATTCATATGACTGTATCACATGATTTAGGCTTACCTGCAACAAACTCTAGAATTACTGATTGTCAAATAAATTTACCGAAATCCCAAATGACATTTCTAATCCTCCAATGTGATTTTACAAAGCTGAAATAATATCTATACCTGCTATCATAGTTCATACTATACCCATCGAGAAGTTCGTTGGTTGCATTCTCAACTCTCAAGGTTAAGGTCCACATATAAGCTAGAAATAAAAAGCATAGTACGATCCTTAAAATAAAAATAAAATAAAAGTAAAGGTCAGGGTTATTGATAAATTTGTCCTTTTTTAAGTATCTAAAGTTGAAAATGTTAAATTCTCTTGTTTTATTTATTGTTTAGAAAATGAAATTCCTAAAGAGTATGTTTTCTGAAAATGTTTTTATATATATATATATATATAAATTTTTCATAAAATGATTTCTATAGAGAGATAAGAATTTAACCTTTTCAAGTTAAAAAGAAAAGTTTTATTACAATAAACTTATGTCATTACTTTAATTTATTTAGTTAACGTAGTAAAAAGTTATAATTTTTAAATAATATTTATAAAAACTCTTTAAAGACATTTATGATTAACAACTAAACATATTTGAATCATTCACAATAATTAAGAATTCATGATTCACATGAATTATGATTTCTAAAAATTCTCTTCTATTAAATGTTTCCATACATTAAAAATTAATAATTTTTGATTGGTAACTAAAATCAATAGTTAAAAAGTGCGGAAAATGCACAAAAGGATATAATTTCTTTCTATTGAGTTGTTTTTTCATTTTTCATACACTTTTGTTCTCTTTCCATTTACCTATCTTAATTTTTTTAATTGATTGAAAAGTCAACCCCTAACAAAAAAAGATCTCACCTACCTAGTTATTTATATTATTCTCAGTGAAGTGAATTTATAGTAATATTGTAGTAGTACTTTTCAATGAGACACCCTCTTTTATTTTATTTGCAAAACAATATAAAAAAAATAATAATAAAGTTTGTGGCACGTGAAAGAAAACTTGTTAGTCGGGGAATTGAGGGTGGAGCGGGCAACGCAACGCGACGGGATTTTACCAGCTCCGCATCCTTCGGCGACGCCACCCACTCTTCCAACGGTGAGCTTCTTCTTCTTCTTCTTCTTCTTATTGTGATCAATCTCTGATTCTTTGTTATTGACTCCATGAAACCTTTTCATGCATCCCTTGGAAGAGGCGCACGTGTTCCTCGTGATTGTCTTCAAGCTTAAACGATCCTTTTCCACAACTTTAGGTTTCCAGATTTTAATTATTTTGCATCTAGAGGGAACCTTGCATTGTCTTCACTAGGAAATTCATTAATTCACTGAACTATTAATCCTCTCTGCTAAACGCTTCACTTATTTTTATTATTTTTTTTTCCGTCCTTTTTTCTTTTTATTTTTTTGAGCTAAATTGTTCGATACCTTTAGGTGAATTTGCTCCCAAATGGATTTTGGTTTTGAGTTAGGCTGATTCTTTTTGCACCTAAGTGGATTGGATTTGAGATAGGATGATTCTTTTAGAGCCTACAAAAATGCAACTTGATTTTTTTTTTAATAAATGAATATGTTAATTTAAATGTTTATTAAATTATTATTCATTAACGTAAACTAATAAATGTGCCTCATTACATGATTCATAAATTATTTGAATTATTCTTAATAAGTTTTTTTATTGGCTCACACTACACATTTATCGAATCCAATCTAAAATTCATCTATTTTCTGTGGTGCTTTTCGTGTATAATGTGTTGGTTTCTTTGTAAGTAGGGGAATGTTGTTGTCTTCTCTTCTGAAGACATTCCGTCTGGTGGTTATTTTGTTTGTTTTGGATATCAAGGCTGGTTGTGGCTGAACAATATCTAGATTTCTAGTGGTTTGTCAAAATTTGAGAATTGAGATTTTGAAAATTTTATCTGTTGCATTTTTTTCTGGCCTGGATTTTGAAAAACAATAACTGAAGGAGTTTAGTTGCACCATTTTGGAAAAAAATTGCTGCTTCAGATTCTAGTGTATGTTCTCCGTACTTTTTCTTTTAAAAAACTTTGCACCATTCTTTCCATGGTTTTGTTATATTGATAAATCCATATGATGTTTTTCAAATTGTTTGAACTTATTGGGTCATACATAGAACTTTTGTTAAAACACAAGCAAAGCCCAATGATTGTTGCTCTTCTGTTTTCAAAAAAAAAAATGTACTTTCAAATTGTCACCATTGATTATCTTACTTGTTTACTTACATTGACATATTCTTTTGAAGCTTGTAGGAGAACAAATTAAATCTCCATCAATCATGAAACAGAATGTTGCACAAGATAACACCAACTCATATCCGAAGAAATCAATCCCACCCTACATGAAGGCAATCTCTGGCTCAATTGGAGGGATTATGGAGGCTTCTTGCCTGCAACCCATTGATGTGATCAAGACCAGATTGCAGCTTGATAGATCAGGAAATTACAAGGGAATACTGCATTGTGGTACGACAATTACACGAACAGAAGGGGTACGGGCTTTATGGAAAGGATTAACACCTTTTGCCACACATTTGACCTTGAAGTATGCACTTCGAATGGGTTCAAATGCTGTACTTCAATCAGCATTTAAGGACCCTGAGACTGGGAAGGTTAGCAGTCATGGGCGGTTCCTTTCTGGGTTTGGTGCTGGGGTGCTTGAGGCTATTATTATTGTCACGCCATTTGAGGTTTGAGCATTTTTTTTTTGTTTTATATGCCATCAGTAATTATTCTAGTTCTGTTAGCCTGTTATTAAGTTGTATACGAACTAAATAATCAAGGAAAAAAAATGAGGAATAATGCATACCATAAGACTGTTTTCTGAAATAAATTGGTATCATTCTTTGCATTTGTCAGTTTTGGTTTAGACTGAGAATTTGAAGAAACAATACATCATTTAGATTTTGAAATACTTTTCGATTGGCATATAAATGTTTACTTTATCCTAATTAAGGTTTGTTGTTGAATTTAAATTTAAAATTTAGGTCCTCAACATTACCCTTCTGCCTAAATTTTTCTGCTAATATTATGTTGACTAGATATTCTTGGTTTGGGTTTCTGCTTTCTAGTTATACTAATTATATAAATTTGTAATGTTTATTTACATTAGCTCTAATATTTTTAGTGGTATAGCACTGCTAATTATATTTATGGTTTGACTGAAGTCTTGTTATATTAAATTTGTTGACCATTGTCACTGTTAGTCCTGTTTTAGTAAGCAGTCCAGCTACAGAAAAAAGTATCTTCTTTACTTGTTTTTAGCATTTTGATCATTCAAAGAATTCTTTTATGCTGAACTATTTTTTTAAAATATATTTTCTTTGATATTCAAGTACTTGTTGCTTATGATATATAACTGAAAGCACTAAATCATAGATGTGCTCTTGGAAGAGTTAATTTACAACCTATGTGGGCTTATCTGGTGACATAATCACTTGTGCAAGTGTTTGGGTATAAAAATAGGTTATGATATGCCTCTTAGTTGTTTTCAGTTTATTTCAATAAGTTTCCAAGATATCTTATGCAAACAACTTACAGCTTGCAACTTATATGAAAACAATATAATCCCATTTTCTCTTTGATTATCAAAACAACTTATACAATGTGCTTACATGATAAGCACTTATTCAATAAACACTTAAAGTCGTTTACCAAAACACACTAGTTGTTGACTACCTTTTGAATTTATGTCTTGTGAATTGTAGTTTTTCACAATTGTCATTCTCTAGTTGTATCAAAGTTTGGTGATTTCTCTCTATGGCCTTTAATGGAGGTCTGAGATAATCTTACTTCAATGTTATTAGAGTATTTTACTCTGTTCTGTCTGTTTTATTCTCTTTTTCAGTTATTAGTTGACAGTGACATTCTGTCATTTTCTGTTTGTTACATGTGTCACTATCAGTTTGTTATGTAACTTCCTTTACTGTAGTAGAGCAGCTTGCTTTGTACTCATTTTATAGAAAGAATCATTTCATGTACGCTTGAGTATCTATATTGTAGGGCCCGCTAGTCCACCCGTTCCTCCACCATAGTATGATATTGTCCGCTTTGGGCCCAAGCCCGCACGGTTTTGTTTTTGGGCTCCTTCCCAAAAGGCCTCATACTATGTGGAATGGTGGACACTTATAAACTAGCCAATGTTCCTTCATTTTACCGATGTGGGACTTGGGATGAATCCCAACAAACCTCCCCTCAGACCAAGGACCACATGTCTCGTGATCTCCTCCCCTCAAGCGATAATCCGTCACCATCTTGTACCGCCGTTAACTCTACGGGACACGCCGCCTGAACACCACAATATCAGGAAGACTTTCGACACAAGGCACCAAGTTCGAATCTCCATCGCGAGGCACAACACTGAGGGTCTTCCCGCATCAAACCC